AAATACAGAATATCTGGTAATTAACAGTATCTCAAAAGCTAAAACGGAGAAGGCAGTGGCAACTCACTCCAGTACTCTTGCCTGGAAAACCCCATGGACGGAGGAGCCTAGTAGGCTGCAGTCCGTGGGGTCACTTAAGAGTCGGACATGACTGAGCGACTTCACTTTCACTTTTCATTTTCATGCATTGGAGAAGGAAATGGCAACCCACTCCAGTGTTCTTGCCTGGAGAATCCCAGGGACGGAGGAGCCTGGTGGGCTTCCATCTATGGGGTCGCACAGAGTCGGACACGACTGAAGCGACTTAGCAGCAGCAGCAAAAGCTAAAATGAGAAGAATGCAGAAAATAGAGAAGTACTCACTGAATAATATTATTTTGCTTTGAGGAAACCAGAAATGATTCTATTCCAAGAAATAAGTAATAATGATGAGAAGTAATTAATACACCATATATCTTTTAAGCCAAAGCATGCTTTTCTGCTCAGAACAACTTTTTCTTAATTTTTACATTCTTAATCTCCTTTGTCCAGAATAGGACCCCATTTTAAGCCATTATTTGAATAGAGTTCATAAACTCTATCTAAAGCCACTTTTCTTCACAGGATGTTTTCATTTTAGTATTCATACATAAGCTGCAAAAAGGCAAATGAGAGTTATAAGAATTTGTAGCATAATAAATGCCAATTTACAGTAACTGTCAACAGACTTCTATTCAGAACCCGAAAAGTTGCTACAGTACAGGTGAGAACTACATGATTCTTCCATAGACTCAGACTTCGTTTAGTAATAATGTCATAAGATCCAAAAGGAAACCTTAATGGGTCCTTTCAAGGATGCATACTTTTCCGAACAGTTTTTCTCTGGATGCACAGCCGGTTCATTCTTTCAATCCTTTTTTAGTCGTTTAGCTTTTGTAATATTTTCTTGATGTTTTTGTTTCTTCTTTTCCTCCTTTTCCCTTGCCTCAATCATCTTGGCCAATTTCCAAGACAGCACAGCACTTGCTCAGAAAAGATGGAGTCAGAGCCAAAATAACTAAGGAAGCCATATGGGTCCTTTGCAACGCATTCCACAGCATACTCAGCCCAAGCCTTTAGTCAAACATCTTCTTGGAGGCCTTATGCTTGAGTAGTGATCTCTGATTTTGTCCAGGGATTATCAGCCAGTCACAGTTTCAGATGACCTTTGGTTGGCTGTCTTCTTTAACTCTACCAATACACTTCTGAGAGAAGGCTTCAATTCCATATACTCCTATGCACCTCAATTTTGGGCCCCAAGTGCAAGCAACCTCCATACTTTAAGGAATAAATATTATTCTTCTTCCTTCAGAAAAGGATCCACCAGGCTTGCTCTTCTGACCAGACCCACATGGTACCTGAAGCTAAGCCACCTCAACAGACACCCACACTTTCCCTTCTTGTGTTTTCCCCTAGCTCACCCTTCCTCACCTGCCGGGCCAGCAGGGTGCGAACAGCCTGTGGTCCCCAGGAATCAGGGGTCGCCCCCACCACACCCTGGGCCACTGGCGCCATGGCCACCTCCACTGAGCACCAGTCACCTGCCTCCCCTACATCTCACAGGGGACAATGGGTTCAGACCCCCGCTCCCGACCTATTTGCTGAATTTTATGCTTTGAGAAAAGTTACCTCTCCCAGGCTTTCTACAAGGGAAGGCACTCACCAATTAGCCAAACTAGAACTCTGGGGTCTCTGAAACCTTTTGTGGGCCTGGCTGCAACTTCTCGCGAAAGACTTCCCAATTAGGTTTGCCGGGTTCTTCTCCAGGAGCACGTAGCCCTTTGCTCCCTCCAGTGTGCATCTGTGGGACTGCATGTTCCCTGGCTCTCCGTTCTCAGCAACCCCTAGGCATCTGAAGTATGCCAGCTGTCCATTAGCTCCCCAGAGCCTGGGAGATAGATACCAGTCCTCAGAATGCCGGCTGGATTCATGCTTTGCTCTTCTCTCTCCCTCCTGGGGGTGCTACCAAGTCAGGCATCTTCTCCTGATTGGACCAAGCTGCCCTGGCCTCCGTCTGCAGCACCACGGGCCCCCTGGTGCTGGTGCTGCTGAAAACTGCCCTCATTCCTTCTAGATTACAGGCAACCTCCAGACCTCCAAACTGTGTTGGTTCCGTTAGCCCTGGAGTCAGGAGAGACAGACCCCAGTCCCTCCAGTAGCCCTCTGAAAGCCTGGAGTGCTGGTGCACATCTTATGTTCTCTTCCCCACCCCCTGGGATGAGCCGCGCCAGCCAGGGGGTGGGCAGTCACAAAGGAAATGAAAGGCTCTTCTTACACTTCTCCATAGAGCTGTTGTTGACTCTGCATTTGCCTGGGGAACTACAGCTTCTTGGAAATGACACCCCCACTCCAGTGTTCTAGCCTGGAGAGTCCTGTGGATGAAGGAGCTTAGTGGGCTCCAGTCCAAAGAGTCATAAAGAGTCAGACACAGCAACTAAGCATAGCATTGCAACTTCTTAGCTGGTTTCTGAAGTTCTCCTAAAGGTATTTTGGTGTTTCTAGGGTTAATTTGGTGTCTCTGTTGGGGATGAGGGCTGAGCCTTCCTATTCTGCCATCTTGCTGGCATCACCCTAAGTCTTCTGTTCATCACCAAGAGATCACATGAGGTGTCAAGACGTATAGAGCATGTAAGTCACTCAGTTGTGGCTGGCTTTTTGCGACCCCATGGACAGTAGTCCACCAAGCTCCTCTGTCTGTGGAATTCTCCAGGCAAGAATACTGGAGTGGGTAACCATTCCCTTCTCCAGGGGATCTTTCTGACCCAGGGATTGAACTCGCATCTCCTGCATTGCAGGCAGACTTTTTACCATCTGAGCCACCAGGGGAGCCCAGGATGTATAGAGCCCAGTTGTCTAAAAGGTGCTTAACACAAAGACTTTGAATGAAAGGCTGAGTGAGTGACACAGACCAGACAAAACCCCATCTCCTTTAACTAGTGAGGAAACTAAAGACCAGGAATGCCCAAAGTCCATGGCCACCTGCAAGCAAGAGATGGGTCTGCAGTGGGTTGAATAGTGTCACCCAAAAAGGCATGCTCACCATAAACTTCAGTTGCGACTTTATTTGGATATAATAGGGTCTTTGCAGACATAATCCAGTTAAGGGTCTCAAGATTGTCCTGGATTTAGAGTAGGTCACCGTTCCATTGACCGAAGTCCTCCTAAGAGGAAGGAGGGGGAAACTGGAGACAGGGACACAGAATTGAGGATGTCTCATGAAGACGGAAATGGCACCCGACTCCAGTATTCTTGCCTGGGAAATCCCATGGACTGAGGAGCCTGGTAGCCTACAGTCAATGGGGTCGTAGAGTCGGACACGACTGAGCGACTTCACTTTCGCTTTCACGAAGACGGAGGTGGCTACAAGCCAAGGACTGCCAGCAACCCCAGCAGCCAGGAAAGAGGCATGAAACATATGCTCCCCCAGAGCCTCCTAGAGAACTAACCCTGCTGCCACCTTGGCTTCAGACCACTGGCCTTCAGGACTGGGAGAGAATAAACTTCTGGCGTTTTAAGCGCCTGGTTTGCTGTTCGTCATTACATTAGCCCTAGGGATTTAATATAGAATTAATTTAATTCTATATTAATTTTATAATATTTAATTTTATATTCTAATTCTATATTAATTTAATTCTAATTTAATTAATTTAATTATTTAATATAGAATCTAACTTCCCACTTAGAGTTGTAACTTCTATTCCTAATCCCACCACAGATCTTGAGAAGGGAGTCGGGTCTGTTTAAAAAAAAAAAAAAAAAAAAAGACAAAAACTACAGTTCCCAAAATGGAGTCACCTGCAAATGAATACTTACTATCTAACCTAACTGCACTCTCAGAGTCTCCCAGGAATGTGAACTTTAACCAGTCAACTGGAATTAGTGAGGTATCTGCATGATAGAACTCCCCTCTCCCCCCAAAGGAAGGTGACCCTGCCTAAAGCAATCTACTCTAATAGAAACTGCCTTTTTTTTCTAGTACCCTTTTGCCTGTAAAAGCCTTCATTTGTACAGCTCCTCGAATCTCCTTCTGATGTGCTGGATGCAATAAATGCTGTCTGATTCAAGAATCTATGAATAGAGACGTTTCTGGTGGTTCCCTGACTAAGACGGTGCTTCCACTGCAAGGGTCACGGGTTCAATTCCTGGTCAGGGAACTAAGATCCCACCTGCCCCTCAGTGTGGCCAACAAAAAAAATAAGAAAAAAAGAGTTGGAGTAAATCACGAAAAAACTGACAGAGCACAGGTATGTTCAGAGTACTTTATTGGTTCCTATGCTAACCTCACAGTAGCCCTGAGTGAGGCTCCCGCTGTTGGTCCTCTTTATACCTAGATGGTGAGAGTGAGGGAGTTAAAGACACACCCTAGACCCACGCGAGGGCCAGTGACAGGTGGGACTCCACCCAGGCAGCCCAGCTCCAAAGCCATTCGATTACACTCTCAGGATGTGGGCAGTACGCCCGTCCTCCAGCTCAGTGACTTCAGATGGACTGTGGAGGGAAGGAGCAGCAGGTCAGTCCCGGGGCGTCAGGAAACCTTGCTGTGACGAGCATTTGTCCCAGCTCACTACTCGGACAGACCCCTTCGTGGACTTCCCGTTGGGAACGCAGAGAAGGTTACCGTCCTCAGGGACAACGTTTGCAATTCTCATCTAGTCTTAATTATTTGGCGGGTACAGTGTTCACTCTCCTCTGGGAACCAACACGAGACACCTTCAGAAGCAGACTCACAGAATCCACACTCGCAGCCAATTAGACCTGACCTGGACGCAAAAGCGCCTCATTTTCTGCGCCCTCAGATTCCCCTCCCAGCTTTCCTCCTAAGCCAGCTCATCTGCGGCGTCGGGCAATTAGCCTCGATACGGTCTACGACGAAGTGAAAAATAAACTGGAGACCTCGCCGTACAGGACACACGCAGACTCCTGGGGATGGAGCGGGAGAGGGCAGGGAAGGTTGGCGGACTTTCGGGATGGTCACATGGGTGCATGACGTCACTGCGCCCCATTCAGGCGCTCGCGGAGCCGCCGCGGAATTGGCTGCCGGCAGGTGCGGTGGGCGCTAGAGGCCGACCTCATTGCCGGCAGGCGTCCTCTTTGCGGTCCGGGGTCTTGCGCCTGGGGGCTGAGGCCCGGCCTCGCCCACCTCCCACAGCCAGCCAGGCTTGGGCGTGGCACGCGAGTTCTGCGGGGCCCACCTGCGCCTCCGCACCTTCTGCTGCCGCCTTCCCGGGGAGCGGGACGGGGGCGCGGTTGGGAGGAGAGTTGTCCTCGGCTCGGGTGGGCCGGGCGGCGTAGGCACAAAAAGGACACTGATGGCCCGCGGGACGGCGCTACAGCCCGGGGACACTGAGCCTGGAGCGCACTGAACCTCCGGAAACACCCATAAAGAAACTGAGTTAAGAGCGTAGGACTGAGTGGTTCAGTGGTTAAAAATCCGCTTTCCGGTGCAGCGGGTGCGTGTTCCATCCCTAACCCTAACCCTAACCCTAACCCCTACCCCTACCCCGGGGAACTAGATACCCCGTACTGTGCGGCAGATAACCCTGTGGGCTGCAACTCCCGGGCATGTGCCCCACAGAGGGGAGAAGCCGGAGTGCCACTACTGAGACCGGATGCCGCCCAAAATAAATATTTTATTTATTTTTTTCTTTTCCTCTTTTCTTTTTTCTTTTCATTTATTTTTATTAGTTGGAGGCTAATTACTATACAATATTGTAGTGGTTTTTGCCATACATTGACATGAATCAGCCATGGATTTACATGTGTTCCCCATCCTGAATCCCCCTCCCACCTCCCTCCCCATCCTGTCCCTCTGGGTCAACAGTGAAAAATAAATATTTTAAAATATAAAGTTTAGAACTCTCAGCTCCCAAAAGTGTGGAGAGTGCAGTTCTTTCCCGAGGAACCCTGGGATTGGGTTACTGGTGTTTTTTCTGGAGTAGGTTGAGGCCCTCAGTCCTGGGCTGAAATTTTTAGAAGCGTTTTGGGAGCCTACAGTTATTCCTGTTTTATTCTTAGGAACATTCCCCTTCAGATAGAGAAGCTATAGATAGACTGAGCAACAGATTAAACATTCAAAAATATCTCTGCAAAAATGGCAGAATCCTTATACTGTGACAGTATGAATGGAAGCCCAAAGCAGAAAAATCTTTCTGGGAAAGTTAAAAAATAGCACAAGCCTCTTCCAGGGGAGTTATTTCACATGAGAAAGAATGGAGGAAAATGCAGAAAGACTTGCTGACCTGTATCCTTCAGTCCTGTGGTGCTTGTAACTGCCCAGCAATGAGATGGAAGAAAGAGCCTGTAGACAGTGACAGAGGCATGAGTGTTTTTTGGACGGTCACCTTAACAGGTCAGAAGCAAAGGTCCTGGAGCAACTCCCCACCGAGTACAGGGGAGGTCAAGCAGGACATGGCAGCAGTCTTCACTGGAGGGGGGCTGCTCTCAGTTGTAGGGAGCATGACGTTACCAGCACCCCTTGGTCAACAGGGGGACTCCCACACAGCTCTCAGTTAGCAGCAGTCATGAAGGCTGATGTCTCCTGATGATGACCAAACATACTGGAGCCATTCTGGTCCTTGGGCTGGAACAAATTTTAGCTGGGGGTCAGGCTGATCACTGGAGAAGGCAATGGCAACCCACTCCAGTACTCTTGCCTGGAGAATCCCATGGACAGCAGAGTCTGGCAAGCTACAGTCGCAAAGAGTCGGACATGACTGAACAACTAACACATACACACACAGACTGATCATTCCGGCGATTCCTGATTAAACTTGAAGATTAAGATGGGGATGCAGGGACTTCCCCGGTGGTCCAGTTGTTAAGAATGCAGGGGACTCAGGTTCGATCTGTGGTCAGAGACCTAAGAGCCCACATGCCATGAAGCAACTAAGCCCATGAGCCACAGCTAGAGTCCCTGTGTGAAATGATGAGCCCATGTGCTGCAACTAAGACCGGAAGCAGCTAAATAAATAAATATTTTTTAAAAAATAGACGAGAAGCAATCTTTTGCATAGCATAAAGGTGAAGCAGGGCCAGTGGGGCATGGGATGTACAGAAAGCAAGAGAGCAGCCATTTATGGGGACTGACAGACCATACAACCATAGAAAAAGGCAGAGTTCCATGAAGAATTCAGGAGTGTATTGGTTGTGAAGACTAAATGAGGTAACATATAAAATACCTACTGGGACATCCGTGGTGGTCCAGGAGTTAAGATTTCGCCATTGAAACGCAGGGGATGAGGGTTGAATCTCTGGTCCCAGAACTAAGATCCCACATACCACAGGGCAGCTAAGCCCATGCTCCACAAGAGAAACCTACCAGCCTCAATAAAGACCCAATGCAGCCAAAGAGTAAAATGTGTACTTTGGTGCCAGGGACATGGTAGGTCCTCATAAAAGTGATAAAATTGCAAAGATCTGAGTTTCCAGATGACTCGGAGTAGGTTTATGAATCATTTTGTGGTGATGATTCCCTGATTTACATATCTGTCAGATAGTACAAGGTCACACTGGCTGTCCTGGGGACCCAAATAGGGTGATTTGGTTGGACTCCATTAATGCCTAATCAGAGAAGAACAATACATTTTTGAGAGGGAGAGAAATAACACAAGAATGTAAGGTGGAATAGGGGCTGTGCGGTAGCCATCTTCCAGCTTACATGACTCTGAGTAAGCACTGACAGCAGGCTTGCTTACTGCCTGTGCCTGGAGAGAGCCCAGCATTAGGTTAAATCACATCTCACCCCACAGCCCTGGGTAGTCCTGACAGCCCCACAGTCATGAACTCTGACATGTCTGTGGAAGCCTAGTAGACATGCTAAGAATCAGGAAACAGGGACATCCCGGTGGTCCTGTATGTTGACTCCAAGCTACCAATACAGGGAGGGTGGGATGAACAGATTCGATCTCTGGTCAGGAAACTGCTGCAACTAAAAAAAAATCTTTTTAGAAACATATTGTGCTCTTTGGAGCTCATTTTCAAAGCACTACTTGGCTTACAATCCTTTTATTATTATTATTTTATTTATTATATCACAGTTTAGATAGAGGCATGTTGCAACCCATGGAATGTAGCCTGCCAGGCTCCTCTGTCTGTGGGATTTCCCGGGCAAGAATACTGGGAGTGGGTTGCCATTTCCTCCTCCAGGGAATCTTCCAGACCCAGGGATGGAACCTGCATCTCCTGTGTTTCCTGCACTGTTAGGCAGGTTCTTTACCACTAAGCCATCTGGGAAGCCCTTAGAATTGAGGACTCCATGGCAAAGAAAAGTTGGGTGACTTGTCTGGTGTCACACAGATAGTAGGTGGCAAAGACAGGACTGGTACGCTTGCCACCTCCTTGGTAGAGGGAACCTTCCACAGTAATGTTCCTTGTCTAAGTTTAAATCCATATTTAAATCCTGATGAATAGGGACAGGCTCTTCCTTTTATCGTTCTTCCATGTTGGAAGACAGGTGTTTTAGTTCCCAGAGGATGGCACTGTCTCCATTTGACTGTTGATGGAATTTCAGGGCCCTGTCTGTCATCAAGGCCTCTCTGTGTGTGCAGCACCCAGTTCCCATCAGCTGCATCTGGTGAGTGACAGCCAGGATGGTCTTTGATTTAGTAAAATGCCTTTTTAAAAAAGGAAAAGAAGGGCTTCCCTGGTGGCTCAGTGGCAAAGAATCCACCTGCCAATGAAGGAGACACAGGTTCAATCCCTGGTCTGGGATCCATAACTACTGAGCCCACGTACCCTAGAGCCTGTACTCCACGACAAGAGAAACCCCCACAATGAGAAGCCCATGCACCACAACTAGAGAGCAGCCCCCACTTGCTTCAACTAGAGAAAAGTCCAGGCATCAATGAAGACCCAGCACAGACAAAAATAAATAATTAAAAATTTTTTTTTAGTAATAGAAGATTGACGATCCCAAGTGCCACAACTAAGACCAAATAAATTAAAAAAAAAAAAATCTCCAGGCTGAAGAACGTCTCCAGAAACAAGTATAGGCAACACTGTCACATAGAGCAAAGTCGAGAAAGTCACACTTATTGTCACGTGGAATAACTGGACAGGACCCTCGCCCCAGTCTCCCCTGACCACAAACAAGCATGGCAACCTTCTCATTAGATCAGTGAAGACATTTGAGCCCTGACAGATCAGCCAGACTTACTTGGGTTTATACCGAACCACGTCCTCAGCAAAACCAAAACCTAAGAGGGTCACAGAAGTTTTAAAAGGGAAGGACAGGCAGGGAGGTGCAGACTGGTTTCAACTGTAATCCTTTTGAATTTTCCTGTTTTGAGGGAGGGCTTTTTTTCCTAATCAAGGTTTTCAAGGCACAGAGCAACGAAGGAAAACCTGGCATAATACAAAATCGTCATGAAAATAGAAATGCCTGAAATTCAAGACTCCCTGTCAACACAAATAATAACCAGAGTATAACAGGAATGACAAGAGTTTTATTTGAGTCAAACAGAACTGTAGCCTGGGAGACAGCCTTGGAGGAGCTGCTTCGGAGAAGCATGGTTTTCAGCGCAGTTTTATATCTTGTCAGAACAAAGGACATCAAACAAGTCCAGGGTACATTCCTTCAAGGTTTCAAAAAACAGATGAGCAAATACACAGCGAGTAGAATGGCCTTGGTGCCTGGGAAAGGAGTCTTACCATGGAAGGAGAAACCAACACTGGCGTCCCAGGAGGGGAGTCTTTTAATATATATATATTTTTAACATGGACATTCTTTGCTTCTGGTCTGTGAACCCGTTAATGATCAAAGCAGATGTACAATGTACATTTGATAGGCCATAAACAGGCTGTTCTGGTTAGCATCAAATTCAAGTTAACTCCTGTATAAACCTGAATGACTTTCCCATACCTTAATATGTGAAAACTTCTTCCATTATCCCCAAATCTGCATTTTTAAAACTTTCATTTTTTTTTTTTTTTACCTCTGTGCCATGGCCAGAGACACCTTTCTCCCATCATGGGATGTAGTGGCTTTTCTTCTCAATTAATCAGGAGGCCACAGCTTGGAGGAGTCCTGTCCTTGGCCTGGGCCTCCAGATTACCCAACATTGGTTTCTAATATTCCTAATGAAAACAATTTTTAAGTTTCTTTTTTTTTTTTTGGACTATTGTAAAAGCCTTTATTGAATTTGTTACAACATTGCTTCTGTTGTTTTATGTTTTGGTTTTTTTGGCTGCAAGGCATGTGGGATCAGGGATCAAACCTGCACCACTGTTAGGAGAATTAAGATTGAAGTTTTGTTCAGGCTTCAGAGACAAAGAAAGCAGAGCAGGCCTCCGAA